CAGGCCCGGATGGGACAGGGCTAAACGGATCCCACGTCCTTTCCCAATCGTTCATGCAATGCCATGTTGGCAAGCATACGTTTCGCTTCCCCGCGAGCATTCCCGCATGTCTCAAAGGATTTTGGGAGAGGGAAGGTTTGGTTCGTTTTGCGGCGGTTATCTTGGACGGAACCGGCTCACCGCCCCCCGGATCACGACTTTAGACTCACCGCCCGAAGGCGCAGCCGCGCCCACGTCTAGACCGGTGGTTGGAGTTATCTTTAACTACCAACGGAGGTTGGGCGGTAAACTTGATTTTGGAGGTGTTGGTTGGAACGGGAGATACTGGCTTCACCCGAAGTCTTCACCGGGTGGCGTGCTTCACCACGGTTCCAACACTTTAGATACTAGCAAGGGCAGTTAATTTAACATGATAGAGGCCGGCCTCAAGGAATATTTCGTATGTCGACTACTTTGACGGCCGGCCTTATCAGGGAACTATACTGCTGAGATGTAACTCGGCTTGGAGCTTGACTGAGAATAAGACAGAAGATAAACTTCACATGGGACAGACGCTTCATTTACAGGCCGACGAGAGCATTTCTAAGACTGGTAGCGAGGCACAAGACTTGAGAGCACATATCTCCTAGGAAGACGGACGGATATGCGCGTCGGCCGAGGTACTCTATTTGGTCACCTGCTCGACTCGGTCAATTTACGTCTCATACCAACTCTCAATCGACAGGACCACCGCAATCAGACCAAGGTCCTGGTCGCGGAAGCCTTGACAAAACAAGCCATCACTGAATATGCTTCACTAAGCTTTGCACAACTAATGCTGCTCATATTCCAAGGCACAAATGACGATGATTTCGCAACCGCATCCAACTTGACGTTATCCGCAATCTGGAGCAGGGGAGGCGCCTAAGTGACAGTCGTAGCACCTCGTGTCCAACTTCCTGGCCAGACCCCCCGGCCACAGAAATCCCACCAGCTGGTCGGATGGAACTCAACCACTCAAGCCCGCCTGTTCTCCGCTGTTGAAGAGCAGGCTCCAGGCTCCAGGCTGCTTCCCCCCCCTTGACACGTTTGCTTTCCCTACCGAATGAGGTTTAGAAAGGGTGAGGAAAGTAGGAAATGGGAGAGATGGAAAGTAAACCCGTAGATACTCCCCTTTGCAACTTCCCCCTGCATCATGCAGTGGTATCGGCGGACAGGCATCATTCCACTATATTTAGAGGCCATGCGGGCTTCTGGGGGGAGGTGCGAGAGGGAACGAGTGAGTGCAAGGTTTCGACGCCGGTGCCGTCCAGGGAATTTTCTTTGGGTAGAGAGGTGGGTGGTATTTTTCCTTGGCATGGATATCCATGCCGGTTCGGATTGAGGTCTCCCAAGATTGAGGGCTCCAAACTCCACAGCGAAAAGCATGGGCAAGGTTGGGCAAGCAAAGCTGCCGTAAACCTGGCACGTCTGGGCAATCCCTCTCTTTCTCCAATCTCCACGTGGGGGGCGCCTTTTTACTATCTCCTCTGTCTCGATAAAGCAAGTCTCCGGGATAAGCTCATTATCAAACCTGCCACCGGGTCTGGCGTTCGAGAACGTCTCGCCGTTGGACCCGTTGGGGAATGACCCGGATCCAAATCTTGGAAAGGGTTCATTGCAAGTGGAAACGGGCTCGAGTGTGTCCGTATCCTCGTAAGCTAAGATACCACTGGATACCTTAGCTTCTTTACTTGAGCGACTAGGTACCTATAGCAGAGGGAACGCTATTGAAACCCTTGATGGGCAGAAAGCCATTTGTGTGGAACAGTCCCGGTTCGGGTAACCAAGGACTGCGACCTCTTCGGCGTGGGGAGGCGGCGCACGCGGTTGACAATGACACCTCGATGTGTGTCGATGCTACTCTACGTCAATGGAAGACCGGACAGAATGCCTCCCTACGTATGAGGCGGCAGAGGACGCGAGAGGGAGGGGGAGAGAGAGCCCGAGACGGGAAAGGCCTTGAGTTGGAGAAGCGCAAGTGGACAGGGACTCGGGGGTCGGGGGGGGAAGCTTGGGTAGAGGCAGGGGAGGGGGGGAAAGAGAGACCTGATCCGCCTGGTGGGAGGGAACTGCTAAGTGGGCAGAGAGTTTGCTTGGGAGAGGAGGAGACATAGGGAAGAAAAAAAAAGGGGTCCTGGGGCGAGTGAGGCCTTGTCGGCGGTGAGGTGACGATGACATGGGGGGAAGACGCGGTTCATTCTTCTTGGGCGGGGTGGAGCGACGCGTCGGGCAGGGTCCCTGGCTGGGTTGAGAGACGCGTCGGGATTCTGGGAAGAGAGAGTGATGATTGTTTGCGAGGTGTGAGTTGCGATGGCTCTCGTTTGAATCAAAGAGAGGAGCTAGAGAGAATGTGAAGAAGGTTGGACAAGTGTGTAGGCAATATGTTTTGGTCGTTGGTTTGCTTTTGGGAGAAGGCAGTAAAATTTCTAGGCTACTTTATGCATCGTGACAAGCGTTACTTGAGGTTGAATCTCGATTATCAACTCGAGCTTTGCTTCAATCTTCAATACCTTGTGATCGCAAAGACATTCATCACTGTATTAAGCCCACTTACTAATGCGTCTCTCGCGCCGAGAAGGCTGATGATAATCTCAGATGCTGTTCCTGTATTCGTTGGCGCAGCTTAATAAGAGCCAGTCTTTTTTTCCTATTGTTGTAAATGACCCCGGAGCGAGTCTCCCATTTTGCATCATCATGATGGCCAACGTTTAGATATTTCGCTGGAAGTTGACAATCTCTCCGCTCGAGTGTTAAAGGCCACTCGCTAGATTCGTGCTGCAAAGCGGAAGAACGCGCCTTCTCGCTTCTCGCCACAGATTGCTCGTCATGATGACTCTCTTTCATATCCAGAGCTCTCTCAGGAACATTTCATTTTGGCGTTGGACGTCAGATCAGATAGAACGCTGGTTTGCAGAACTTTAGTAACTTCTCGTGGCACCAAATGAGCCTCACATGAGCGTGACATTGACGTTGAATCCGGCTCTGGCCATTGCTAGATGAATTATATTCTCACCGTACTGCTCCCTGGCTCCCATAAAGAGCGTCGCTCACATTCGTACGCGTTTTGACGCATTCAATCAGGAGAGAACTTGTTATCATGACCATGGGGGACGTTCACTCTTTACCCAATTTCACTCTCCTCGTGTATGCTATTCGGGGCCGTCTTTCATATCCTCTGCTCTAATGGACAGTCAAGTGTCTTCTCGCCGCCTTGTCCCGCGTCATGGTCCGAAGGCTTTCTCTTGTGAGTGTCGTGAGCTGCTCGTTTTATTATCGTGTGAACAGCCGCATCCTGAAGTGGTTCTGTGCATAATAGACCCGGTCTGTCTATTGAACTTTGACTTTTTCTGCATGAATTGACTTCGAGGAAGCGAGGAGTTCCTTTTGCGATAGATTTCGTCGAGCCGAGCTCTATGCTGTGGCAAAGAATGATGGTGTAGATGGCCCGATGGGTTCCATGTCGTGACAACGGTGATTGTGAACATGTCACAAGTAGAGGCTTCTTGATACCAATATAGAATGCATCAATGGAGGCTCAAACAAGTGTATTGGTCCAATATGACGGGCAACGCGTTCGATCCTTACACCGCTAATTATCATAAGATGTACGTCACCCTTGCTCGTCGAAATGTTTTATGCCGTCGACTCCGAGCTGGAGTCTGAATTGCTCCTGCGGACTCTTCGAGCTCTAGCCTGTATCGGTCCCGATGTTTGTCTGTGTTGCAGACAAAATGAGCCGCTTCATGTGTCCTTGCCAGGGTATCTCAGCCGTACCAGATGACTACTCAGCAAGGCGGTTCATCCACGCGCAGTCTATTCACCCGCTTCTGATTCATCCTCCAAACCGACTTTACGCGTGAGATTCATCCCTTCATCTGCGATGGTGATATATCATCGATAGAGCCGCAGGCGGAAAGGCCTCATCCTCGCAAGATAAGCGAGCTATGAGATCTTCCCATGAAGTGTACAATTGCTCGTGTCTTGACTCGAGGACGTGGCTCAATCTATGCTTCGAACCCTACGGACACCCGTAGCCTCAACTGAGCGCTCTCACTGTTATCTTATACGAAGTCTAGTATCTCAGCGTGCCGAGTACGTATGAATCCTTTTCCATCTCAGATCGGAATTCTCGATTCATCGCAGATGGGGAAAGCAAATGCCTGGACGTTTCGCCAACAGTCACACACAGGAACCGTCCCTGTAGTTCCCGTGACGTTTCTCATAAATCTAAAATGAAGCCTGAATCTCAATTGAGTGTGTGTTCCTAGCACCATCTCGGAAAATCACTTAGATTTTTGTCTTGGTACTCAGTGGCCCGATGACAACTCAACGTATTGGCATCTTGACGCTTAGAAATCAATGGAGAGAGCATCATCATTATGTCCCAATGATGGGAGACATACGTGAATGACTGAGAGAATAAATAAATACGTGAATGACTGTTTATTAGTCTTTGTTGACCTGTTCAAACTCTCATCGAGTATCTCTCCCAGCCGCCGCATCCCACAAGTAGGGAAAGACCTCAATCGAGCTCGAGTACACTCTTCAGGAACAGCAGTAGCCAGAGTCACCATCAGGACGGGTAGGTTATCGGTTCCTAGGAACTTTGAAGGGGATCATCTTATCTTGCTTCGTTATTCCCGTCACGAACAGAGTGATGTTTATGAGTGGCAGACCCAAGAGCGAAGGATTGTCAAGAGTACCAATACCTCCATCTCTAGCATTGTTCCGGTACCATCACGTCTTTTAGCTTTTCGAAAGACTCAAGACAAATACAACCACACTCGAGGCCTTAAGCCATGGGCGTGGCGAATCTAGTTTGGCCTCACCAAGGCCTCTTTTCATGAGCCACGCCAGCGTTCAAGCTATTCGTACGACATACTTCCTCGTAGACCACCGCCCGTCATCCAGGCTTCATCTGCACCCTCTAATCCCATATCCTACAGCACTTCAACCTCAATTCTCACCCATCACACCTCTCACGTCTCCCCAAAAACAAAAACCCCCTTCCCCTTCCTAAACCCACCAAGCGCCCCCTGAACAGCACTCTTCAAAACCCCCTCCTCAGTACCCCATTCCCACCCAACCTCCTCAACCGGCACATCCCTAAACCTCCCCTCCCGAATCATCCCCAACACGTCCTCAATCGCAAACTTCCTCCCCGTCGGATCCCTCTCGTTCCACTTACTCAGCCAGAACCCGACAAACCTAATATCCTTGAAGATCAACAGCCCCGTAGGCAACATGACCGGCTGCCTCGCCATCCCACCATACGAAACCATCGTCCCGCTCTCCCCCAAACTCCTCGCCACCGCCGTGGCAGACTTCCCGCCCACGCAGTTCAGCCCCAGACCGACCTGCTCCCTCCCGCCGCGCGTCAGCTCCGCAAGCCGATCCCGCCACTCCCGCGACAGAAACTCCTTCTCCGTGACCACGACGGTGGCGCCCAACCCCGTCAACTCCTCCTTCAGCGCCTCCGTCTCGGCAGCCGTCTCCCGCTCCCGGACGACATTGATACTCCGCAACCCCCACAACTTGCCCAGCTGCACCGCCGCCCTTCCAACGCCGCTATTCGCCCCATTCTGAATAAACCACCCCCCCGACCCAGGATCAAGAGCCTTCATCCCACCATCACTCCCCTTCCGTATCTCCCCGGGCCCATACGTCCTCAAAATCCGATACGCCGTGCACGGATTCACGCTCACGGTAGCAACCTGCGTAGGCGTCAACCCCTCCCTGCTAACCTTCATCACATCTTTCGCCTCGGCCACAGCATGCGTGCGCCACGTCCCAAACGAGCTGGCATTGGGGATGACCCAATCCCCCTTGCTCAAACCCGAATCCTTGGATCCCACCGACACGACCTCGAATACGCCCTCGTTTCCGGGGATCGCAGAGGGCTCGGGCGTGCCGATGAGTTGTGTAAAGGGGGGTTTGGCGCCGTATGTGCCCTGGACGGTGTTGATGTCGGCCGGGTTGATCGGGGCCGCGAGGGCGCGGAGGAGGACGGCGGAGGAGGGGATCGAGGGGGAGATGGAGTGTGTGTGTAGTCTGCGTTGGAAGAAAGCGTCAGTTCTTGTTGTCTATTCGTTTCGAATGGAGGGTTAGCAGGCTGTCTACGTACTGCAAAACGTCGCTGGGCTCGCCCTCCTTGGAGAACACGAGCGCCTTGGCCTGTGTATACCCGTACGGACCGGACTTGTATCGTCGCGCAACACGGGGGAGGTACTGCGCCGCCTGTCGGCCCGCAGCCGGTCGTAGCGCCGAGGTCAGCGGCCGAAGCGCCGTCGTCGCGGTGTTTGTGCGCAAGCTTGCCGCCATTATCATATGTATGTATCTGTCCAGCCGTGAACAGTAAGTAAGTTGGCAATTGGCACAATGACGCAAGAGTGGTGGTTGTGGGAAGTGGACAACCCAAAAAAAAAAACCGCAGCTCCAAAGCTGCAGGTCCCGGCTCTGGCTCGGCAAACGGGTGACCTGGAGCTCCAATCTCACAATGACGTCCCCTCCCACCACGGGCCGACGAATCAGCCCACTAGCGCCGTCCCCTGGAAAAGTGCACGGCGCACGGCGCACGGAAAGGGGGGGGGGGGAGTGGTGGTGTGGTCCCGCCGTTTCCGCGATTGGCTCGAGCTTTCCCACCATCACCACCCGCAGCTCCGGCCAAAAGGGGACGGACGCCGTTCCAAGGCACCGAAACATGAAGCGGCGGCTCCGGATATTCAACGGACTCACGGGGGATGCGGGAGGAGTCTGCCCGGCACGAAAGAACGCCTGACAGACGCGCTATTCCTCACAGGTACAAGTGAGTTTCGAGTGGACGGTCGAGAATGCATGGTGACATGTTCTAGCGATCTGCTTTGCTGCAGCATCTTTCTCCAGCAGAAAAAAACTAGGTAGCCATGGCCTTGCTAGGCTCTTCTGCGCGCCAAAACAACCTGCAGATGCAAGCCTCTCGCCACATGATGTGTTCAAGGGGCCATAGCGTCAGGTTCGGATGACGCGGGGTCCATCTGCCATCAATCTCCTTTCTCACCAAAGTTCGGCTCGTTGTGTAAGTCTTTACGAGTCGACGGATATCCTCACATGTACAGAATATCGAGGTCATCTTGATGAATCAAAAGTCAACATGTCGAAATCAGACGGTCGTAAAATGTAGTCTCTATTACTGCTGCTGTTGCCACATAAGCACCAGCGGCATCAGGATGCACTTGGCCAAATGCTCCGTGGTCTGGCGTTTCCAGCCATCGTGGCTAAGCCCAAAGCATCTTTGCCATTTGGTAGTTGCGTCCTTCTTTTTGCCATGCAAAGGCTGACGCGAGCCCGAGTTGTTCCTCGTTCCTCGTTCCGCTATCGGTCGTCAGCCTCGCCACCACTTCTCAACTCCCACAAGCTTCTCCATCAAACCCGTAAACACAAACATGTACATTAGAAGGTAAGTCGTAGAGTAGGAAAGGGTTTGACCAACAAGCCCACAAGGAAAAGAGATTCGGGGCCCATGGTGCCTGTTTTTTCCAGACAGCGCAATGAGATGAAGAGAAACACACAAAATAAAGAAAGTGTAAACATCGTATGTCAGAATGAGCCCGCGGCGCGAGCTGGGTATCTTGCATAACTTCTTCCAATCTTGCCTCCGCTCCTTTCCACATCTGCTTCGTCCCATCTCCGCCTCTTCGTCCCCAGCTCTGGCTCGAAATGAAGTTTAACTCAAGAAACGCTAGGAAATCGTATTGGTGCATCCGTTCGGATTCGGTCGTTCGCTCGTCGGCGCATATGAGGTGGTTTTCTTTTTCTTTTTTCTTTCGCATTCGACAAAGAAGCCGGTTCCCGACTCCAAAAACCGGCAGCTCTGTATATAGCAGTCATGACTAGTGTCGGGGGTTGTCCGCATCTAGTCAGTAATTATTTAATGTTCTTGAATAAGTCGTCTCCGAGACTGCCCCCGTCCCTTACATCCAGCCTGGCCTGGAGGGCGCTTAGCTCGGGGATCATGGGTGGCGGAGGCCCTTGGACCTGAGGTGCCTGCGCCTGTGCCTGAGGGATCTGAGGCTTGCTCTGCGTTTGGCTGCTCGTCTCGCTGACGTTGGGATGCTCGTAGACGACACTGGATCGTTTTTGTGGCGGGGAGGATTCGCTGGTTCTCAGCCTCTTGAACCAGCCGCTGCTTCGCTTCGATTTCTTCTCGTCGATGATGCTGCCTTGACTACGGCTCATGGGACGGTTGTGGGCGGACTGGGTTTCGCCTTCTGCATATGCTTGGTTCAGTAATGTCCGGCTGAAGAGACGACGGATGCTGCCTTGTCTGCTTGACGCTGCTGGAGAGAGTGGTGTGTCATCCGAGAATCCTTTCGTACCATTGGTGGTGGCAGGCGAGCCTGGAACTGCTGCTGCATGACCATTTGTCTTGTTCTCGACCTTCTCCTTGACGGCAGAACCGGAGTCCTTGGTTTCGCTCACACGCGGGGTCTGGGGAGGCGTGGGGACCTCCTGGACGGGGCTGGGGAGCGGCGGGGGGATGTTGGTTCCCTCGGTCAAGGAGCCGAACTTGAAGTCAAGCTTGGGGAGCTCGAATCGTTTCGAACCGGTGGAAGGCATGGTGGGCGGTGATGCGGATTAGAGGGTTTGTGTCATCAATTGACTTTGTTGATGCAAAGGCGAGGTTGGGCCAGGATGGGTCCGTTTGAAAGGCGAGGTTTGCAAATGGCAATTGCAGGATCCGCCAGCAGCCAGCTCGACAAACGAACGCGTGACAGGCAGTGAGTGCGGTTCGCCCCGTGGCGTGTGTCGTTGGACAGAGCAGCAGGGGGAGTCGAATCGGACCCAGTGCGAGTGCGGGTTGGGGTCTGGTGGGACAGCGTGGATGTGGTGGACGAGGAGCGAGCGAGTGCGACGCAAGAAAGTCTGGGATTCGGGGAGCGGTAGGGAGGGATCCGCTGATATGGTGAATTTTGTATGGAAAACGGAGCCGAGTTGTGAAGGGTCTTGAGAGCTTGAGAGTGAATGAATGTCGAGGTTGGTGACAAGACGGGCAGCATGCAGGGTATGCTTCAGAGCGAGATTGGGTATTCGTCTTGTGCGGTGGCGCACGAAGGAGCAGGCCGCCAGGCGGAATGGTGGACAGGCGATGCAGTGTACCAGGTACTCGTATAAATGCAGGGTACGCAGTAGGGAGTACGAAGCAGGTAAGGAAGGTAGTGGTCGTGTACGAAGTAGTGCAGCAGGTTCGGGCTATGTATTGCCGCCGTGCTGGGATTCGAATTGGGTCTCTAGGTATCCGTAATACCAAGAGGTCGAAGGCGGTTGTATTGAGCCACGATGATGTTTGAGTTGGCCTTGAATCGTAGCCATAGGCTGAGCAGTCGTAAGGGGAAGACTGAAGTGTCCTAGGCAAATGGACAGACACGGCGCAAACAGCGGTGCTGGTTCTACTTGAAGTCGAATCGAGTTGGGCTCCAAAGGACGTGGAACTGCAGCGGCCAGAGACGAAACGACACGAGACGGCGATTGAGAAAGAAAGTAGGCCCAAGAGAGGAAGAGAGGCCCGGGGAGGGTGGAGTAGAAGAATGGAACGGCAGGTCGGGGGTCAAATGGGAAGTGGACTGGACCATTGGGGACGGGATGCTGTGGGAGAGCGCCCTTGGACCTTGGACTTTGGACCTTGGTTCCTTTGCTTGCCGGTGCTTCTTCTGTTTGGTGCTTGGTGCTTGGTGCTTGGTGCTGGCGTGGGCGTTGGATGGCGGGATTGTGCATTGGGATTGGACTGTTCTGGTTCAACTGGGCTGGATTGGATTGGATTTGAGATGTCCTGCAGGGGTCTAGCATTTTGCGTGTTTGTCACCTCAGTGAGAAACTGTGAGTTGACCAGGACTGCTAGGTCGTTCCTTGACGGGTGGGATGGCGTCGCACTCACCTTGGAGCCCCTAGAGGTGTCCGGGTACGCAAGTGTGGGATCTGACAAGGATGCGCCTGCCAACTCGGTTTCTTCGTCTTTTCTTCCGCTGTTCTTTTTTTTTTTTTCTTCCTCTCCCTCTGTCTCCAGTGACCAAAGTCCGCACGAAGCAGATTGGCAGAACACTTAGACGCATCTCCGATCCCCTCTGCTTTTCTTCTTCTGCTCCCTTGGAGTTTCCCTCATAGATAAATGAACCCCAGGGCCCCATTGCTTCAGGTTGGTGTTCTGTTCTGTTCGGGCAAGCGACCTGAACCTAGCATTCCGCATTGCTGGGATGGCAGTTTGAGATGCCAGATTGAGGCGCCGGGCTGGACCTTTATCAACATCTGTGCCCCATTCTGGATAGCTCTGGCACTCTGCTGTTTCCTTACATAAGACGCCCCTTCCAACCGTGCGAAGATTTACCTCATTACGGCAGGCAAGAAAAGTAAGGTAAAGAGCACAGGTGCAGCTTGTCAAATTTCAACCCAAGTTACCTTACCTTACAATGTACGAGGTACTTCGTAAGTACAAGACGAAAACGGGGGACCGAGGGTGCGAAAATGACACTGACATTGGCAATTGCACTTGCACCTGCCTGCCATTTCCAATGCCCGGGCACCAACCGTGCCTGCATCTTCCTTCCGCGGTCACTTCCATTGGTTCTTGCCCACCCAACTTCCTCAAGTACTCCGTCCCTTCCTTGGGTATCCGGATGGAAGGTCCCTTCCCCTCCACTCCTCCGACGTGCCTTCCAGCTTGGATGTCAGTGTCTGGTGCATGAACATTGCTTACCTAAGTGCATATTTCCCGACATGCAACACGTAATCTTAGAGTTCGCATTATCGACTTTCTGCAAATTTATCCCATCCGGCCCAGACGTCAAACATTCAGCATGATCGGCGCTGCCTCTCGAGTCACAGAGCCTGTCACTGGTAGGCTGGCAGCAGGGGCTTTCTTTGCTCTTGTGCCAAGTGATTTAGAACTGCAAGCTCTCGAATGTCCATACCTACATACGGAGTACCTAGTGCCATACTCTCGACTGTGCCGTGGTTGTCACACTCTCACCACCCTCCCCTCTACGCTGCGGGATGGACATGAAAAGCTTGGCTTCACAACCACTGATATGCAAGAGAAACACGATTCAAGATGCACCAAGTCGACGCCTGCAGGGAAATTGTCCGTGAACCTGCACTAGCACAACTTGCACGACACCCTCTTGGCTGCACTACTTCGTACACAGTGGCACACTGCCTGCTGCACACCATACGAAGTACATATCACGACCGAGGTCTAATGGATGCATATCGGCGCGTCTCGACAGGTTTGCCTGGCACGCTGCAATTCCATCCGCTGTTCGCTTCTCCTCTAATACGATGCGCAGGTATACGCCGGCCACATCGGATTGTCATCTACATGAGCATTCCTCGGAACAACACCACAGTCATTTGTCAAACATTTACGTTCCTCTGTCTCGATTTTGCTGGGTCCAGCAAATGCCAAACCATGTCTTCCAAGTTTCCTCTCTCGGCCATTTTTGACTCCCATGTTCACGCCGCGCGCCGCCTAATACCATGATTTGGGTCCGTTCCCGAGCTAGCAGATCACAACCACCCATCTCCGCCCACGGGGCGTCTCCTTCTCTCAGTCTCAACCATCCTAGCAATCCGGCCACGAGCCGGCCTCGGTTTGAAGCTCCATAACTTCCCTACACAGATGTAAACCCGTCTCAATTGGTCCGGTATGCTCGACTGTCCGGCAGACCAAGCAAACGCTCGAGGCGCCGTTGCGCCGAGCCGTGTCGCTAATAATCCCGTTTCAGCAGTCAAAGTCAACCGGGGTTCATCTGCCGCAGATGGGGACACTCAAGGGAAGCTGCATTACAACTCGCCGCCTTTCCAACAAACGTCAAACGTCCCCTCCTCTACTCCCGCCTCTGATCCGGTTTTCAGACTTTGGTCCAGCGAGGCCGCCTACCGTTGACAGCATGGCTATTCGACTAGGTCTCGGGGCTTTTTCATGTAGCGATCGCCGCAAGGCTCAAGACCACAACGCTAGGTATCCGTATTCAAATTTCATGCGACGGCCACGTCCATGGTGCGCGAAAGATCGTCCTTCATCACGAGTCAACGGCACGTATTGACAACCTTACTCGATGCTGAGTCCTGACAAGCCATTCTGCCCTAGCCCAGTCTCACGTACGGTTACCTATCGCGTTCTCAACTTCTCGTTCAAGCGAGAAACATTGGATTCCCAAACGGGAAACCGGCTCCATTCCGAATCTCCTCGCATGCAGGCAGGCCGCTAGCACCAATCCCCACGACCATGGCCCACAATCCTTGATCCTTGAGCGCGTGGTGGTCCCTGGCCGCCCCCATCCAACGAAGAGCCAGACCAGGCAACCCCTATTTCGCATTTTCCCGTCTTCTTCTCATCGTCAAAGGTCCCGCGCACAAGAAGCTTTTTCTGCTCTAGCCCGAGACCAGGGACAATTGGTTAGAATTGGGCGAGAAAATTTGAGCTTTCCCGCTTGATCGTATGAATTATCGTAGCTTATCATACGGAAAGTGCCTATCAAGGATACGGATCGTTTCATGCAGCCCACACCAAGAGCCTGGCACGCAGCACGAGGCAAGAAAGTTCGTCCCCGCTGCCTGGGTCTGCAAGCAAGGGCGTTGAAACATTTCATGGAAACACATTCCCTTTTGCCGGTACGGAGATGCAGGTACCTCAGGATTTTGTTTCCTCCAGGCTGCATCAGCCGCGCTTATCTCCAAAACATGATATTTTTATCATGGGTCTATTGTGGGCTCCTTGAATTTTGGCTCTGTTGACCTCTTTGGGTCTTTCTAATGTCCGATTCTTCGCAAGCAGACGAGCAACGATGTTACACCGTTGTCCACTCTGGCTAGAAATGTCAGAGCGTTTGCGCCGAACGTGGCTCCGGCACGCTGATAGACCCAGAAACGATCAGGCATGACCCCATTTCTCCTACCCTGGCTCGAGTGGTACTTGCGTATCATGGTTCGCGCATCACCCGGCGTCAACAGTCGGACACGGAGCCCAAGAAAATCCTCATCTGCTAAAGAACTGCCACTGACTCGATTGCGAGCTGCCCGCTGCGACTTTGACGATTACACATGACGGTGCCGGCGGGGCACTTTCGGAACGGTGGGAGTTCGGGACCCTCTCCAGTCGGAGGAGCAGAGAATATCCATGGACGAAAAAGTGTACGGACTCTCACCGAGCTCCGACGCTCAGAGGCTCAGTCCTTTTGCCGTCACCAGCCCGAGTTGCCTGTTATCTTTTGCACTGGCCATCCGCGGGCCGGCGCGGCACCCATCGGACGACAATTGGTCTCCGAGACGCGGAGGCAAAGCTGGCTGTACGGCGTCTCTCGATGGTGTTGCTCAACGCCCAACTATCCGCGCTCTCACCTGTGAGATATTTTTTACATTTATCAAATGAAAGTGTTGGCCTTATAGTTTGAGCACCGCTCGTTGCTTTCAATGCCTATTTTCAGTATGGCGGAAGCCCATGCGAGCAGAGGCCGCAGTCATCGCCAGACCGTGGTTCTTTACAGAGTATTCCAGCACGGCTAATGGAAAGCAGAACCATCTCAAGACGTAGGGATCACGGTGAGTCGTATTCCAGTCAACTTCTATACTACAGAGCAAGAACACGATCCGCACAGGATAGAAGTCACGTATGCACACACCGACAGTCAGAGGAGAAAGCGGAGCCGGAGGATCTGCTCCACTGCTATTACATCGACACTTTTTTCGTCGCCACAAGTCTTTGTAGATGATGCCGTTGGGAAACACGGCAGCGACTCACATTCGCACGAGTGCGGGTTGTGACTGCATCCGCTTGGTGTTGGTGTCTGGCGACTTGAGTATCACGATGCCCTCGTCCTAACACATACGACCATACCCATTGGAAAACTCGGGATCCCGTCCGCTCTCCCATAGATAAGCCAATGAGGGCCGGATCAGTAGTTGGGTCGGTGACGACAAGCGAATACCTGGTGTTGTATGTTTTTGACTTTTGTTGATGTTGCTTTTTGTGGGTTGAGGTGGGTGACGTGACGGTTTGGATTGAAGAGGTGAGCTTCGAAAGCTGGGACGGAGCAGCCCACGCCAAGCGAAAAGCTCGACTCGGGATGGGGAAGTGTGCGAAGTAGAGAGAAGCAGCCGCATTCATGTTTTGCTGCAGTGACTGGCTTCTCACCTTCCCCGGGGCCCGTCGACCGCGCATATGATATCCCGAACTGCCTTGAACGGCATGATATTGGTTTTGGTACAGAGAAAGGCTCTGACTCTATGGTGTACGTACATACAGGTATGTGGCTGGCTTCCTATCGTTCAGATCTCAAGCCGTGCAGAAGGGCCGTTATGCTTTGGGTAAGGGGCTGAAAGGGGTTGTTGAGATATCCTCGTCACAGGACTGAAATCTAAAAAGGCATTACGGAGACGAGGACCAGAGCCATACATCTAACTCTAGGAGGCTGCAGTTAGAAGGGGTTCGGCAATGAATTAGTAATATATTCCTCTAGTTTGATTTTCATATGACCTATGAAGCATTGAGTAATACTCGGCGCTTTAATGTCTGTTTCCGGTGGCGTGAGGTCAGATTAAATATCAGTGTAGCATTGTTATTTTCACAGATAAGTCTCCATGTGGTGTTGAGTTTGATTGCCATAGTTGTAGAAGACCCCGAGATGTTAACCACTTTGTGCGATGGCATCGAGGAATACACCTGTTAGGGTCTGCTTTACTTGTATAACCAACCCGTATTCGATTAACATAACTCATCGAAGAGAGCCCACAGACTTAGAACATATGAAAAGCCAAGAGGTGTGTCACATTAAAGAAACTAAACTTAGAAACTGATGGTTGACTGACTTTCGAATCAGCCTGACATTGTATTAGGCTTCCGGGCCATAGTAGCAGACCAAAAACATGACTACAGCTGCTTGCCTTGCCTTGTCATACTTGGCAGCGATTTTGAAAACTTGCGTGCGAAGATAGTTCTAAGCTACCGGCTCGTCAGTTGAACGGCAACTGAGGCCGGAGTAAGTTCTATATATCAGATTTGCGATTCGGGAAGACGTGTTGCATGCCCGCATCCGTCGTTCCCGTGAGATAAAGAGGGAAGCTTTACATTTTATGCCGAGGCGAGGTTACTCCATTATGTCTGTCTGTACCTTAGGTACCTGAAGAGCCTCCTCAGATTGGAAGACGAGATACCTGCCTCTCTCTTCATGCCTGCCTGCTCTCCCAAGCGAGTTCCGTTCATTTTGTGGACTGCGGAACGTGCCGCTCAGTTTCAAGGGATAAGAGCACCACCATCACCTCTCACACTTCTCTTCAAGCGTGTAGAAAACATTATATATTTTAATTACCCGTAACCTCTCCTAGAGTTATCCAACACATGACTTTCACGACCAGAGCTTCTGAATCAAATACTCAATCGGCTCAGCGCGATATGTATCCGGCTGAACATGGACCAAGTCCGTAACATTGACATCGAAACCCATAATCTCAGGGTTCTCAACATCGTACCTCGGCCACCGCACACCCGTCGCGCCAGCATTGGCATTCGGATCCCCCTTGGTGATGAACCCAACCCACATCCTCGACATAATCTCCGCCAGCGCCTTGTACGTCTCTGGCTTGCCCTCGAAAGGATTCACCGCCACCGCCGTCTCGTATCCCAACCCGCCCGTGTTGTTGAACACAAACGCGACCTCCTGGAAGTGGTTCACGCCCTCGGCGGGCGTCATGCCGTTGACGAGCACGTTGAAGTTGTACGAGTACACGCTCTGGTTTGCCCTCGGTCCAGCCCAGTTGCGCGCAAAGAACCGCCTGGGACCGTGTTGCGCGCGGTCGCCAGCGAAGGCATTCACACGCTTCCACATGGCTCCGAAATTCGCCTGCGATCCCGTTGGTCGACCGTTGAGCGTCGCCGGTGTGCCAAGGCGCGGGATATCGGGGTACAGCGCCGAGAGCACCTCGATCGTGAGGTTACCCGCCCCGCCGGAGCGGAGGTACGATTGCCACTGCGCTGTGGTGTTGACGCCCTTGATACCAAACTGCGTGCCCTCGTCCGAGTTGGCGCCGATGAGCAGCGGCACGCGCGTAAACTTGCCCTCGTTGATGAGCTCGTGGCGCGCCGCCTCGAGGAACTCGCCGTCGACGACGCCGGTGAAGGCCGGGTTCGTGGTCGTGGCGTTGAGCACGTCGCTAAGAGTCCAGGCCGGAACGGTGCGAAGGCAGGAGAGGGTGTCGGCTGCCGCGGAGCAGTCTGTCTTGTTGACGATGGTGTCGTAGTAGTCCTGCCACGTAGCCGCAGAGGACGACGACGCCTCGACCTCGCCAAAGTCTGTGCCGAGACCGGTGCCACTCTGCAGGATCGCGGCGCGGTAGAGGCCCTCGTCCCGGCCGCCGTAGGCCAGCATCTGCGAGGCTACGCTGCGGGAGCCGGCGCTCTCGCTCCAGAGGGTGACGTGCGCCGGGTCGCCTCCGAACGCGGCAATGTTCTCCTGGACCCAGCGCAGGGCCAGGCGCTGGTCGCGGAAGCCGAGGTTGCCCGCGCCCTCGGCCTTCATCTCGTCGCTCCAGAGGAAGCCCCAGGCGTGGAGGCGGTAGTTGATGCTGGCGGCGACAAAGGGGGAGCCCATCCTGACCCCTTGCTCGACGATGAAGGAGAGGTTGTAGCGCGGGTCGGCGCTGCCGCCGTTGGTGAGGCCGCCTCCGTGGATCCATACCGCGACGGGGAGCTTCGCGTCGGCGGCGACGCCGTGGGGGCGGACGACGTTGACGGTTAGGCAGTCTTCTGATACGTGGTTGCCGAGGACCCAGGTGTCGCTTCCGTAGCCGAAGCAGAGCGGGGAGTACTCCGTCGCGTTACGGGTGCCGTCCCAGGACGAGTTCAAGGGTTGAGGGACGCGGAAGCGGAGGTTGTCGACGGGGGGTTGGGCGTACGGCATGCCGAGGAAGAAGTCCTGGTCATGGGGTCCATTATAGACGCCATAGTAGGAGCCGTTCTTGAGGTCTACGGTGGGGACGGTGCCGGTGGTGGTGTTGTCCGGGACGGCCTGTCTCGGGACCAGGGCGGACGCCGTGACGCAGGCCGTGGAGAGGGCGGCGAGCAGGTTGACTCGGGTCATGGTGTTTATCCGGGTGCTATGCTGCGTATGTGACCGACGATGTCTTGACGAGCGTACGCTGCTGAGCTGTCGTCTCGTCAGGTCACCGAGGAGCAGGGCAGCTCTTGGACATTATGTACTTTGGCCATGGACTGCGGGACCGGGAGAAGGTCGGACATTGGAGCCCCAGGTCGTTCTCCATGCTGTGAGATGAAGCCCACCATGGCTCGACCCCCTCTAGGGTGGTGATCCCGGCGTCATGCTACGAGACCAAGGCCGGCCGGGGGGGGATGGCCTCCAAGCTAGAGGAGTGGGCTACGTCACGAAGAGAGGAAGAAGAAGTCCGAAGCGGTCGTTCGCCGCAGTACTCCGTACCAAAGCCATGGATGCCAAGCCTGGGGCCAGGAAGACCATGATGCTTGATGAAGAAGAAAAAAAATCAGTAGCTTATTTGTCGTCGATGGAGACAGAACGGCAGAGTAGCATGGCATGACAGGTCCGATCCAATGGGCTGGGTTGGTCTACCCCGCAAACGCTCCGCAAGAATCGGCCCTACCCTGGCACTTGGGGAGCATTGTGGAGGGATTTGGGGTTGAGTGGTGTGGGGGAGAAATAGAGAAGTTTTGACAAGACTCGTGAGGAACGGCTCCGGGGTTGTTGGGTGCGGTCAACTCCCGAGGGGACGAGGGGATCAATGTGGTGTAGTGGAGGATGTTTGGTAAACACCCGAGTTCCGAATCACCTAGTCACGGAAGCCGAACATGCAAAGGTCGTGTTGTTCAAGGCGCTTTCGCGGTGTTGTGATCAGGGCATTGACAAGTCCTCTGCTCATGGCACAATTCACCGACTCAAAGTCCAACTACGTTGATTTTGATCAGTACCTAGACTCTTGGCAGTGCTAGCTTAAGTCCCTGAGTCAAGTCAACTAAGACCTTGGGCTGATGAATTACTCGACTACACATCACCTTTTGTCTTCTGTGTAGGTGCCAGACCGGAGCCGAGCAAAAAAAGCCACAGCGGCTCCAGCATTTCTCCGCGTTTCTCCGCCTCCTTGTCGTGGAGAATCCGGCGCACAAATTTGGCCCCCGACGTCCCGACAACTTGGCTCTAGTTAAAGACTAGAAGAGGCGGTTGCAAATTTGGGGTCTACGGGCAATTCCTACATCAAGAACTATCCTCACTAAGGCAACTTAATTGCTGGGCAAAGCTTTTCAGTCTCTCAGAAAAAAAAGTACGTTGAGAAGGAAAAAAGATTATGCTTGGTCGGCTCATTGACTCGGCTAACATTAGCTGCGTACTGTGCAATTTCACCGCGAAATTGACACGTTCACACCGTCACCGCCAATACAATCAACTATGGATGGAGATGCTTGAGATGGGGTAGTGATCGTGTCCTTGGTGCACCTTGTCAGTCTTGGCTACCTGTGTAGATAGGTTTCATCGTCAAAATTTAAAATAGACATGCCTATTCGTCATGCGATCGCGTTCCACGGCTTTGGGCAACCTCCCCTTGTTGACGAGGACTTGATCATATTAAATGTCCAACGCATGGACATCATCCGAAATTACTGAGAACGATACTTGAATTCACTATGAGCTATCTCACCAAGCGTAACAAGACTAAAGGGACTGATTCAGCTAAGACTCTGGCAAACGAAACACCAAGTACACCATGTTTTCTTTGTTGACTGAACTTCATTACACTCGAAGATAAATAAACGAACATCCCTCATTAGCTCCACACTTTCGATAGTAGTCTCCCAAACCCAGACCATCAGCATCAGAGACGACGGCGAATTCGACATATTTCTTACTTCGAGGATGGGTCGACTTTAAACATCTCGGTGGACAGCATTCAAGCTACAATCTTGCGGAAGGTCGTGGGGTACGGGCTCAAGATGTAAGTCGGGCTGTAGCCCGGGTTCGCCGTCACGGTAACCGTAGTGGTTCGCGTGACATGGTCATCGGGTGCCGTGGTGGAAGTGGAAGTAGAGGACGAGGAGGTGGTGGTGGTAGAAGAGGAGCTCGAGCTGGTGGTGGAAGTCGGTGTGACGGTGCTGGTGGTAGACGAAGTGGTAGATGAAGTAGTCACCGTGGTGGAAGTGGTCCTCCTGTGCCTGCCCTTACCCTTGCATCTGGACGTCCGGATACGTTGGGGCGGAGGGATGTAGTACTCATCCTCATTCTCCTCCTCTTCGTCCGCAGAGGGCTCGCCAGTCACCAGTTGTCTGGGTGCAAGGGTCTTGGTGGCCGCTAGCTTGGACAGCTTCTTCGACAGGCACGCACGTCTCTTGGGGCTATCTTTGTGGTAGGAATCGGCGGTATCGTCGGTGGAAGACTCCACGGCGCCCGTCTCCTGCTGTCTAGGCTCGAGGGTCTTGGTAGCTTCCACCTCCGCCCAGCGCCCACTCTGAAAGGGGCAGTCTCTGTGTGTGCAGAGGTAAGAATCGGCGGTCGTTTCCGCAGAGGGTGTCACTTGGCTAGACTCCTGCTGTCTAGGCTCAAGGGTCCGGGGGACCTCCATTGCATCGCCGGGGCATTTGTGCCATGTGCAGATCTTTTTGGGGATCTTAGGGGGGCATTCTCCGTAAAGGCAGGGGCGAGAATCGTCGGCGTCGTCCGTAGCTTTTCCACCATGGCCAAACTCCATCTGTCTAGGCTCAAGGGTCTGGGGGACCTCCATCTCTTTGGGGCATTTGCCGTGCGTGCAGAGGGGGGGCTCGGCGGTCTCGTCTATCTCTGAGCTGATCTGGGTCTTGGTTCTCTGTGGCTTGCGGGCCTCGTGGTGTACGTCTAGGGGACCTTGGTGGATGAGGAGAGTGGAAGGTTTCTCCTTGACGGGGACCGTAGGTTGAGGCTCCTGGGCATCGAGGGTCTGGGTATTGCTTTCCTTCGGTCCGAAAAGCTCGTAGATGATCGCGGGGGGGATTGCCGAGAGGGAGGCACCCTCGATCACGTTCGTGGGCCGCGGAGGGAGACTGGCCTCGGCGTTGATGAGGGAGGGACCGAAGGAGACCAGCAGGATGCTGGCCAGGATGGTGATGTCTTTCATCTTGAGCTTTGTTCCAGATGGTTGTTGTCTACAAGATAGATTGAGGTTACATATGTAAGAGAAGATGACAGAAGAAGAAAGAGAAGAGGAAATGTCTGGCAAAAGACGGGCTTAAGTACTTGGATAGAAACAAGCTGTGGGATGCAGTGGTTGAGTAGTCCACAGGGTTGCTGTCCTGGATTCAACTTTTGCTGATGGCTTGAACGGTACATGGCGGGACAGGGCTGTCAAAGCTCTGGAGATATCACTTGCTACCTATGTACGATGAAAAGGTTCGGTATTTGGAGGGCACTGATGGAGAAACATCACAAGACCGATCAGGGCCCCGAAAGAGACATGAACGTGACGGGAAAAGGTTGTTAGACGTGTATCGACGCGACAGGGGTCATTGGGACATATGTCGTTTTTCGCTTCCAGGCAGCCAGACGGCTTGTCTTTTCAGATGAGAGGTTCTCAACGATGGACGCCGGTTGACACCATTGTAGCCACGACAGATTTGAGTTTGGTGGTGAACGCCAGCCTCGACGGCCTTCGTGGCTCAAAGTTTGATACACTAGTGTTTTCGTACCTTTGGAGACAGAACTTTGTATTTTCTCGATTACAGACTGTGGAAACTCTTACATCGCTTTCTGTCCCTCTTAAGCTCCCGTGTTCACTGGCTATTGACGCCATGCATGAGCCGCTCCGTCATAAACCACTGTGGCTTCATTCACGGAAAGAGAAATACATACTACGAGTACCGCAAGGTCCTCAAAATTCCCAATGAGGGGCTTTCAGCATTTTCCGTGTGATATACATGGAATAGCAGGAGGGAAAGCTCATCAACAGGAAAGAACAAGAGTTAGTTTCAAGGCCGATAAGTCCTCATGTCTCCACAAGAACGATGTATCGGCGCTACGGTGCTGCCCATAGTCGTACTGGGCAGAAATTAGACCTATGCCAAGGGATACGAACGTAGAAAAGGAGACGACATGAGACTGGCTTTGACGAGGCAGACCAAGAGACCGTCTATACGCCGTCTATACGACATGATCTTGTTAGTGTGCCCATCAACGGCTTTCATAACGCCTTACGTTGTCATAAGCTCAGGAAGTAAGGCTGGATGAACGCTTATTACTCAGGGCTGGGAATGCTGCCTGAAGGAAGAAGCTACGGAGTGGTACTCGTGTGAGAACAGAATGGATTCTTTGAGGCTCGTAACAAAAAGGCGATCCCCTGCCCCTCGACGCTATGATACGAGCCCTCAGACAGACAACTGTACTACCAATGTCTCAAACTCTCTGATTCAAAACACGATGATGTTTTTCATGGACCGATACGTCCAGCTGTTTCGGATATTCTGGGTTGAATCGCATGACAAGCGTTTAATAATCTGGCCCTATGTCGTCGGGACATTTGGGACACTAAACTTGGTGGCAGCCTGCTCCTGGAGCGCATTGAGGGTTCACCATGAAACCAACACACACAAATGACTTCTTGAGCAATAACATAGAGTTAGGTAGTCTGTGAAACTTAATAGAAGTAGTAAACACTGAGGTGAAGTAGACGCGCCCCAGTTGCAAGACTCTCGGGAAATCAACCTGATGGGCAGATTCAGTCGCATTGTGCAGATTCTTTTCCCTGGAGCTCTCTCCGACCGGTATTGGTGGCAGAGGGACATCATTGCGAATGGCTTCCTCGATTGATGGTTTGGCCTGATGGTCGGTATATTCTGTGTAGAATATTGAGAGGATGAAGGAGGGCAAGGCGAAATTCACCCTAGAGGTACAGCACATCGAGTTAATAACGGATCAGCTCGCCTCCATCCGTTTTCAGTCGTACTCTGGTTACTACTTCTCTTATATAATACCGCAGCACAAGGACTTTTGTACCAAGTAGATCACCAAGAGCGATGCCTGCAATATTGGACAGTTCTTCAAGGACTTTGCCGCCGGCGTAATGGGTACAGTCCTTTAAGAAATGTCGATCTCCGAGACCTTTAGGCTTGAAGATTCGACAGAAGGGCAATGGTTACCGTGCTTTAGATTTTGTAAAATGGGTTTCAAGCTTGTAGAGATAATTAGACAGGTGGCTGATACCACGGTACATACCTCCCGAGATACCTGCCGCTGGAGGATAAGGTGGCTGCAGACGCAGCCACAAGCTTCGAATGAACCAAGCAGTTCACACTACAACCCACATTTGAGATCTTATGTCGTGCCACAAGCTCTATAGAGGCTGAGAGGCTTGGGTATCTGATAGAAACACATAGGTACCGTTGTGGTTTAGGGATCCACATTGCTCTGAACTATCGAGTTCTGCCCTCAATCTCCTACTACCCCTTTTGCAAACACGGAGGCCACGCACGCAGATGGTTGAGGATCATCAGTTGCGGCATAAACTCCAGACTGCCAATAGATCCGCCCGCCCTTTAACCAACCTTAATGACGAAGTAAAGGAACGGAGCGAGCCCTCGTTGACGAACAGACCCCTATGATCACGGCCGACGGCCGGGCGTAGCTCACATGGTTCACACCGACGAGTTCATGTCAGGCAGTCGACCACCGATAACAAGCTTGAAATTTCCGGTCTATGATCTCTAAACTAGCCAGTGTGAGGCGAGCGGGGTCAGTAGAGCATTCTCAGCGAATGTGGAAGACGATGTGAATTCATAGTATTGACCTTAATCGAGGCTCTCAGCTCCAGCCGAAAGAGGGAGAGTACCAATCACACACTTATTTTCCTTCGGCACTTCCAAAAAAGGAAGAATTATAAGCTCAGCCCTCCTGACGGGGGAGACACGGATACGGACCTCCGACACATAATTAGAACACTATTGATAAACGATGCAGGTACTTTCAACGAGACTAGAATTCGTGCCATGGGTGCGAAATAAATCAGTAGCGACCCGACATTCTCCGCTACAAGAACCATGGGCTGATGATGGCATCGAACAGATTTATTGAATAATAGGGTATCGAGGCGAGCAGTCGGGCGGGTGAGCGATATGTCATGTGTGTGAGTGAGAGTGAAGCTGAACGGGTCTGGTGGTGGTTGGACGCATTCCTCTAGGGACCCCAAGGCGGCACCTCAACCGCGAAGCGAGCGTGATTACTTAGAGGTGTTAGTGATTTTAAAATCTCGGAAGGGTGATCCCGTAACTTACTCTGCGTTCTTAACCGCCTTCTCGGGATCTTCAAGGGCGAATTGCTTGCATAAGTCGACATCATACCCGTAGTCAGTCGTACCAAGCACGTCTCGCATGTGCGTCGCCTCATGGATAATGGTACTATCAGAATCTCAGTCAGACACAGTCTCCTAACTCACTATGATGAGAAGACATAGCTGTCCTCGGGGTCGGGACATGAACTCACTCCCACTGGTTCCGATGCCGCCCAGTAGGCGGGAGCATCGCCTCGTTGAAGTACACACTGCAAATCCTGACGTCGCCGTACGTGCCGCCAATAGTCGCGTAGACGACGGTGCTGGTACACGAGCAATCATACGAAAACGTCGTGGCTAGATCAGGCGCGAATTTCTGTTCAACAATGTCAACTTCTTATTCAACGTGATTCTCAACCATGAAGATTGATAGCTCCGCCAAACGCACTTTGAATGCCGTCAACACGCGGTTATAGCGCGCGGTACTAAACGTCCCGTACCACGTCGTCTGCACATCGCTTCCGTTGGGGTTATCCTCCAAATGCTCAATCGCCGCAAGGGACTTGTTTGTCGCTCGTTCGATGGCCGCTTCGAGGGTGACGATCTGCGCATCGGTGCAGGACTTGAAGGTCGCGGCCAGGGTGCCGGACACGATGGACAGGAGGCCTGCCAGGTGAGAGATCCTCATCTTGTCTCGTGGCTTACAATCCGAAGCGATTACTCTTTAGGACGTTGAATTAACTCTAATTTGCTTGGGAGATCGAGGATTCGCAGAGTCTTTAATCCTATAGAAAAGCGGATGTCGTGTAATCGTCTCATGTCGCTAATTCTTGGCAGACATGCATTAGGAAGGTACAAGATTGCCGGCTTCCATCTCCCGTGGACACTTTCCGTTCCAAGGTATCGGACCGCGCAGGGATACATTATCTCGTATTTTCGCTGTAGACCTGCATGGGCTTCTTCAACATCACCAGTCCATTGCTGGAAAGCAGCTCTTTGAAGATACACGATCTCACTAGAACTCGAGCACGTTCCTTGAGAAGCTTCTATATTCCTTGTGACTGCTTGACACTCTAGCAAGAGAGATTTGAAAGGTCGTCGGAAAACGTGCTACTGATGAAACTGTCAGAACTACATCATTACCAACACATTCCTCAGCAAGGTTCTTTTCTTCAAGTCAGACTACGTCCGACATAGATGACCGATGGATGGACTTTTCGCAATTGCAGGCGTCAACCAGCCACGCCACTGCGTCCATCCCAGCGACCAGCACCATTCACCTGGTCGCTCTCCATGTCGTAACATAAACCCGGCCAGTTTTATAAATAGTACAGCCATCCCCCTTGTGTTGATCTAAGGCCAACACCTACCTCGTAGCTGTCCACCATGAGAATTCCTCTAGCTGCGCGATAGGCTGGTTCGTAACCGCTTCAACGAGATGCAAATTTAGCAAGCCGGTGCTATCTCTAACACAGGCGTGGATAATAAGGCAATGTCTCGGACTTCTCGGAGACCCCGCATCCGCCTCCGTATACTCGTAGACCCGCACCCGGCCGGAGGGCGCCGGGCCTCCCGACCAGGACGACTATAAGGGAGTAGCTCCCGACCCAACGCTGTTTCCATCCAATACATCGCCAAAAGAAAAAGTAAATATACTCTCATCGGCAACAGCTTCATTGTAAAGACGGGCGATCTCAGTCAATGCTTCTGTTTCGATACCTTCATGCGGGACTCCCAACCCCCTTTTATATGGAAAAAAGGTACGTGAGGTATATCTCAAGCGCCGCAACTCAAGGCACAGCCATAATAGCTTGTGAATCATCTAACATCAGCCCGGCGGCCGAATCTTTAGAAACTTGCCCCAAGAACTGTAGAACTAGAGCTCGCCATCTATACTTGGGCAAAACCAGACAGGCATGGTGCATGGGTACAGTAGATGCCCCCACCCAGCGCGGATTCGACGAACCCTCACAACCTGTTTCTCAAATTCCCCGGCTCTCGTTCCTTCAACTAGTTCCCTCGCCTCACGCAACCTCGCTCTACGAGACGAATGAGAAGACCACTCAAGCAATCCCCTTCCCTTAAACCATGAGAGGAAGAAAAAATAAGATAAGGCGTGTTAATCGCTAAATCCAAAGTTCGTCGCTCAAACTCATCCCCACAACGCCTTCCCAAACCATTGACACCTCCGGCCAAGCCCGAGGACGAACCCCTCACCCACGAAGCTAACCTCCGTACGTCATGGTGTTCGCGCGATCCTAACACCAGTTCGTGCAAAGCACCTCACGAGACCAATAATTCTGGGCCCTCTACCCTCCACGCTCTCGTCTCGCTCCTTTGTGTCCCCAATTCTCCTTCCCGAAGGCGTCAATCGTTCATGGCTAAGCACGGCAAAAAGTGGACAGGATGTATCATATGCAAATCCAATGGTGTTTTTTTTTTTTGACATTGACCTGATAGCCGCTGAACCCAATCGCTCCACACGTGAAAGTCATAAATATCTCTCGCTTTCCCAAATCTGTTTAAAAAAAAAAAAGATGTATAAATTCAATGAAAAGATGCGCTTCTCGCTTTCAAAGGCTCCTCGTCCAATGCTGCCGTTAGATAACCAAAGCTCCGCGCATACAACTATCGTCATTTCCTGCTACATGATTCCTCTTACATCTTCTTTCGCAGGACTCCTTAGCCTTCAATGGCAAGAGTCTCGCGGTCACGCTCTCGGTGGCGGTGGTGGTGATCATCACGTCGCCTCGAGTCGTCCTCGTACTCGTCTTCGTCTCGACGATGTCTGCGGTGGCGATCTCTGTCACGCTCCTCGTCGTACCGCTCATCATCGCCTTCCTCTCTCCTGTGGTGACGGTGCTTCCGCTTCTCGTCATCTTCACCATCGCGGTCACGTGCACGATCCTGGTCCCGGTCGCGGTCACCGCGGTCCCGGTCTTTGCCAGTCTCTTCGCGTCTCCGTTCTGTTCCACGATATTAGTCTTTGTTGAAGCAAGTGCTTCTAGTCTCTCAACATACCTCTCAAGACCTGTGTTGCGGCGGCATAGGCCTGGATCTCTTCCTTGCTGAGAACGCGAAGGACGATGACAAAGTCGTCTCGGACTTCAAAACGCTCCTTGCCAACGGTCAAGGCCTCAGGGTTTACGATCTTCCGGCTGATCTTGGTCCAACGGGCACCGGGAGGAACTTCCCTCAGCTTCTTATCGTCCTTGTGAGGTGCCACACCCTCGCGAATTGGGTTGTCCTCCTCGGGGTACTTCTTGGGTGCCTTCAAGATACCCTTGAGAGGCTTTGTGTCGGACTTGTCGCGAGGTGGAGACACAACGCGGACCTGTTTATCGTCACGAGGTGGTGTAAGGTCGCGATCGCGGTCGCGATGTTCATCTCTGGATGAAGTAACATTCGAGTCGGCTGAAGGGAGTGAGACGGGTGATTCTCTCTTTGGTGGCGGTGACTCCTTCTTGGGTGAAGGCGTGCGTTCCTTCGGCTCTCTGTGCGGCTCGCGGAGCGGAAGATCGGCATATGTTTGCTTGTCCGATCTGTCGTCTCTCTCAGATCGTTCGGGCCTGTCCAATCGGTCGGATCGTTCGTATCTATCAGACCGCTCTGTACGCTCTGAGCGCTCCGGACGTTCTGAGCGCTCTGGACGTTCTGAACGCTCCGCCCGATCGGCACGGTCTACACGGTCTACACGGTCTGATCTGTCAACAGGAACCGGGACCCGTTCTGGCTTGTCATCCTTCATGGCTGCCAGTTGCTCCTTCAACTCCCGAATATCGTTGGTGTTGGTAGGGTTGAAGCCAATCTGCCGCTTCGGGCGTCTTGACTTTTGCTCGTCATCTTCGGGGGACGCATCTCGTTGTGCAGTTGTAGAATCGCCCGTGAGCTTGGCTTCGCCATCTCGGCGGTTACGGTCGCGATCACGCTCTCGGTCACGCTCCCGATCACGTTCTCGGTCACGCTCTCTCTCGCGTTCTTTTTCGCGCTCCTTCTCACGATCACGAACGTCTGCCTCTTGCTCGGCGGCAGCTCTGCGAGTCTCGACAATGACGGGTGCACGGTCACGAGGGTCCCGAGACTCCTCCCGAGGCTTGTATCTCTCGGCAGCACGAGCTCCAGGGTCCTCTTCGTCGCTTCGGCGCCGGGACTCCCGCTCCGGCTTTTCGGGACGCTCGTCCTTCTCCTTCTCCTTTTCCTTTACGGCCGAGCCAAGGCCAATCGCGGTGGCGGCAAGACCGAGCCCTGCACTCAACTTATCACGTAGTCGCTTCCGCTCGGCTTCGTCCTCATTGGCCGTGCTAGTCCGCCGCAGGTGACGATCTTTGTCATTTTCGACGCGAGCTGAATCACGCTTTGGACGATCCTTGTCCTCTCGTCGCTTGGATTCATCGTCGGAGCCTCTCTTGACATCCGGAGGCGATGTTCGATGACCACTTCGAGACTCTGGTCGGTGACCACCGCGTGACTCCGGTCTATATCCAGTGCGGGAGTCTGGGCGATAGCCATTCCGAGACTCGGGCCGTGCCTCCCTGCGTCGGTCTTCAAAGTCGCCGCCAACGGGAGCCGAGTCTGTACGAATACCGAAGCCACGGCTAGTCACGCCGTTGTCATAGTAGTCACCGCTGCCATAAATGGGATCGTACTTGCGGTCAGGCTCCCGAGCTTGTCGCTGAGCCCGATCGTCATCGCGGCTCCTGTAGTAGTCCTCGTGATGGCTTGATCGAGGAGGAGCTTCGTTGTACACTGACACAGGTCGCCGAGAGGCAGCCGCTCCTGCGACAGTTGCCGCAGCCACAGAAGTCGCCGCGGCTACATCCATAGAAGAAGGGATACCACCAGTGGAGCGTCGGCTTGTTGGGCTGGGAGGAACTGGTAGGTGAACGGGCGCCACAGGGGCAGCCGGAGGAATCGAGCTTTGGGACGGATCATATACATTTGTGGAAGAGCGGTTGATTTTGTCCAATCCCCAGGTGGTAGGCGGCGGACCTGCTCGCTGTCGGCCGGCGTCGTATGCACGACCAGTGCTTTCAGTCGTGGTGACATTAACACTCGGTCGGTAATAGCCACGATCGATACTCTCTCGCCTGCGTGATCGGGAAGGAGGCCGAGTGTGGTCCAAGTCGTATCGTGCCAAGTCGCTTGGTGTTGTATATTCGTAGCCATCTGTGCCACCAATATCTGGGGCATTTCCATGGCGGGAGGAGTTGGCATATATGGCTGAAGATCTCGAAGGGCGATACGAATCGTGCCTAGACGGTGTAGGATCGAGGGTTCGCTCGCGCATGCGGGTAAATTCTTCGTTGTCCATTGTTGCGCTGTAAGAGCCACCGCGATGATGGCTTCGAGAACGTATGGATGACGCAGGCTGCGTGTAGAATGTCGAGTCGCTGGAGCGATAATCATCGCGAGTTGGGCTGCTGTGTCTGTTGCTGGACGAGTGGTGCGATGATGAACTGGCCTGCGGCGGTCGGGTGGTTGTGGTGACAATGACTGGTCGGGCAGAGGTAGAGTCGAGGGTCGATGAGCGATGAGAGCGATTACGGCTCGCTTCTCTCAGGCCGGGGCCGCGAGCAAGGGGGTCTTTGGTGACTGCATAAGTCGTCGTCGTGGTCGTCGGCGTGCCGGAATGATGCGGTCGTGAACTACCAGAGGCATATCTTGTCGAGGACGTGGGCATGACATGAATATCACCCCCATACATGGAACTGTAGCCAATACTGGTGGGAAGCGAAGCCCTCGCAGGATTGAAAGTGGGCGACCTCGGCCGAGCGGTGGTGTACCGCGACGATGAGTAGCGGTGATCCATGGCAACGTCGAGTCGTCCAGTCGTCGACAAATCGTCCTACGTGTGGCTTTCGCTTGTCGCCGTCGAGGTGCCTTTTCTCCGGAATGAGTTGGATAAGGCAGAATGCTCAGCGCCTCGAGGGTGCACGTCGAGGGAGGAGGATGAGGTGAGGAGGGGCAGTCGGGAATTGGGTTGGGCGCTGACCACCTTGAACAGATGGATATGAAGCGGAACGGCCGTAGCGGCTGGATGCACGTCGCAACCACGTGAGGAATTCCGCCCTAAGGAAATTTGGTCTCTTCTTCTCTCACTTTCCTAAATTTTTTTCTTCCCCCTCTCAGTCGCTTTGACTTGGAGGTACTTTAGCGCCCTTTTTCGGGCTGTCGCTTGTTTGGGCGTCGAGGTGTCTCACTTTGTTGTCTGATTTTGGGCGATAGAGCTACCAAGTGGACGGTGCTCTATTTTGTTCGTTTTTTTTCCCTCCCTCTTTTGCACGGAGGGCGAAGGAGAGAAAGAGGAGGGGCGAATCGTTAGGATACCCGCTGAAATGGAATGTGAGGTGGATTCTTTTTGGCTGATGAAAGATGGCGGGGTCCCGGTCTCCTCTCAGATCACTTCAGTCTGGTCTCTTCCCGTTCCTTTGGTCGTGTTTGTAGTGGAAGACCCCCGTCAAATGGGCTGGGTCAGGTCGGGTTCTCAGGTCGGGCTAGCAGGTCGGGCTGGAGTTGGGTGGACTCTGTCGTCGGATCGCTGTCGAAACGTCCCAGTCTGTCTGTTGTGGACTGGAGTGGAAATTCAACTGCATGCATCTGCAGTACCGTAGGAAAAGAGGGGCGAGTCAGCTTTGTTAGGAGATTCAAGTAGATGTTGAATGGGCGGGCGTAGTCTCAAAAATAGGATGAATGAATGCATGCAAGGTCTCCATATGGTTCCATACCATACACTGTGGATGGTTGTGCCGAGTATAGACCATACGCATGGCGTGTTTGTACGTACAAGAAAGATGAGGTGAAGAAGCGGGATGTGTGTATGTAGGAGGAAGAGGGAATCACCTACCAGATATCGTAATACATCGTAATACAGAGAATAACGTCACTGAGGCTGAGGCATCCGAGAAACGCAAGAGAGAGAGCCAGACGGGAAGGGGGGGCAAAAATTGGGCAATGGTTGAAGACACTGCGACGTCGAGTATTTTGGGAGGGGGATTATCCCAGGCGCAATGACGGAGGGAGGAGTCGACTGATCCCTGTCGAGTGAGCAGCAAGGATCGCGGGGGGTTTGCTTTGATGATGGATGCTGATGGATGGATGCACCGGGGCCCTCTCCAGCCCGTGTATCCTTATCCCCTTATTAGCAGAAATGTCAGGGAGAGGAGACAGTCAGCAAACAATGGAACAATACGACTGGTTGCCCGAGAGCTTGTCTTCGGTGTAGGGGGGAGCCGGCTGTAGTAGGTATACGGAAGTACTGAAGGCGTCGTGTTGGTGGTATCGGTACGGACGTTGACGAATTCTGCGAAAACCAAGGACTTGGGTGATAAGGCCAAGGATGTCACTTTGCCGAACCGTGTACTCAAGGCGCACAATGTTCCTCCAGTAGGGGTCTTCGGAAGATGGCGAGTGGCTGCGGTTATCCGGACTTGACGACGGCTGGTCGCTTCTCGTCGTGACAAGGCTGCATGTAGCGCAAATGCCAAAGAGCGTCTTGTTCTTGGGCGCTGACCTCTGCACGTGAAGTATTGCTAATGATCGCCAGAGGTATTTGGTTGTACCTTGTCAAGTTGTCCTAAGCTGACGAGAAAGATTGGTAGAAAATGGGCGGACGTGCGTCAACGTCAATGCCAATGCTGTGAGGTAGCGCCGCCGTCAGTGACGGAGCAGCCAACGAGATGACGGCAGACTGATACCAGTACCGGGTGGTTTGGCCTTTTTCTTCCCACTGTTAGACTTCTTAGCCCACCGCAGTAACGGCAAGCGTGTCGCCAGCTAGGTTGACAATCAGCCACAGAGTCTAGTTGAAGTTGCTCAGACTCGAGGTCGAAGATTCAGGCCAGTCAGAGGGTACATGCAGGAGCAGTTTGCTTGGCTAGGGCCGTTTCGTCTCTGCAGTGTAGATGGTTCTCACAAAGTTCAGATGAAAACCAGGCGGACATCGCATGAGACGGGGGTTCTGGAGTTGACATGCAGTTCCTGTCTCGGTGTCTGCTTTTCGGTGGCGGGTGGTCCTCAATCAGCTACAATAGCAGAAAGCCAAATTCTGCTCGGAATATTCGCTGCTAAACTGTGAATGTCGAGACGGATTGTGGCTTTCCAGCTGGCAGGATCTCAGGAGCTTTACCCCGTCCCGGAACGTGCGATCCGTTGTACTTGAATGGTGATTTGATCGCAACGAAGCTGCTTGCTGACCGCTGACGTCTCGGGATGCGAAATGGAATGTACCTCCAAAGACAATGATGATGATATTATGCAGAGGACTGCACATTAGATAACATGGATGGTGGCCTCAACCCAAAGTGCAAAAGCGTCCCGAGACAAGGGAGAGGCGAGAGCGCAGGTGCCGCGGAACGAACTCAGCCAAGATTGGTGTAATTATTCCGACCCAAGGGTCCGACCTGATGGCGCTGGCTCAGGAGAATGAAACTTCAGGTAGCAGAGCCTTCCCGCGGTGGGATGTGAGACGGCCCTCCATACCTCAAAGGCGAGGCAAAGAACCCTGCTATTGGTGTGAGCAAGCATGTAGTTGACGGGTTGATGGCTGTTGGCAAGGTGCTGATGGTGTGCAAAACGGTCGCTCTCTTGCCGTTTTGGGAAGCCGGTTGTCGTCCGTGTCGATCATGGCGATGACGTCCTGCTGGCTGGACGTGGATCAGGACTGAGAAGCTAAGTTGAGGCCAGGATCAGGACCACACCGGGCTGGTCGGTTGGAGTTTGGCGCTTTTCAGGCCCGGCGAAGTTTCCAATCCTAGATTTTCAACCTTTCAGCCAAGGTAAGGAGGGTCTGGGCCACGTCTCTCAATGCCTGGTGGAATGGCCTGGAAGACCTTTGCTGTTGTCGACTGGTAAAGAGAGATCCAGCTGCACTCCAAAGGATTGGGCAGATAACATTCCATCGCCACCGACGAGATCCTGTGACACTGTACCTGACGGGGACTGTCAACAACTGCTACCTACCACAGTATGAACAAGCCAACAGTCATCGAGTTTCCAGTGTTGAATGTATTCAAAGGTGCCTGGTTCTGCGTGGATATTGCATACATACGCATTCAATGGCACGTTGGCAACGGGACGAGAGAACTTGCGCCAGACCGCTCCAGGGGCGCTCAACCCCGAGATTCCATTCGCACAATTTCTGTCATCGTCTCGAGGGTCGACGTTGCAATTATCTCTTCTGCGGCGTGTGTGGTCCGTTGCTCTGAAATTCGACGGCGCCTGTCTCGATGCTAAGGGTCTACGGCAGGGGAACTGCTCGGGTCCCTGACTAATAGATACGGTCGGTTACCAGTGACAACTAGAAAGGCAGGCGAGAATTTGACCGACGTCAGCGTCAGCGGAAATGATGGTGACTGGATCTCGAAATTTGTGTTAGCGCGTGGTGACGACGGGGAGCATGGCCGAGGGACGTCTATGGACGCCAACCGTTCGGGACGGTTGGCGAATTATTGCGTTTGGCTAGGAATGGCCTGTACTGGGGCCAATGGAAGATGCTGTTTGGTGCATGAACATGAACACGTAGGGAGCCCACGGCCATGTTCTTCTGTTCCCTCGTTTTCTTCTCCGTTTGCATCGATCAACCGGTTTGGATGTCACAGAATGAAATTACTTCATTTGCAGCTCCAAGAGACCAGAAGTCTAGACCGCGCCGCCGTCATGCTTGAAGATGGACCATCTTTAGAAGGCAGGAGGAACCCTCGGGTCTTGCAGGTTTGCTCTTGCCATTGAATCCTGAGGTACTTGTGTACTTTCCACTTGCTTTGTCAGGGAAGGTACCGAGGTACGTATCAAGGGAGTCTGGGAGGGAAGGGACGTTCAACAGAAAACGGGAGGACAGGAGCAAATCAACGACGTGCCGCTTCATCGACGGTTCGCTCAAACTTCAACGGTCAACCATAACCAGAGACGTGGATGTTGCGCCCTCCTAAATTCCTTCAACATCGGAAAGGCAATGTGCCCCCTGAAAACATACACTCATGAGCACCGGAGAACAATAACGGCCTGTCACTATTGGTTGCCTCGTCGCAGTCTCTGTTGCTTGCCACACGCTTATCCTCCACTTCTCAAACCTTAACTACCACGATCCCTTCCTCTCGCGGGCATTGAGGCGCCCATTGTCGTCCACCGCCGCCTGTCGTGTGCTCCACTGAGCCGGTAATCCGACTTTGACTCCAACCATGTCCATGTTCGTGTGGATGTCTCTGAGCGACCTTTCACAGCCCCTGGCCCGTCGGGCTCTGTACGATCCATCAGGTTGCCAAGTGCAAGACTCTTCACTGCAACTGCTGTGGTATCGTCCGGTCCGCGGTACATCCAACACCATGCCCCGTTTCGACCCAACCAACACCTCCTGCATTTTCGGCCTCAGTTTTCCTGCGTCTACCTGCCTGTCGTGTCCCTCGCCCTCGCCCTGATGGCTGTCAGTTGTCGACAATGCAACCGCCAAGCAACAAGCCCAACTATGGGCCGTGTCGAAAACTCTGGAACCCTCTCCGCGCCGCCATCCCCGGGCTTGAGTTCGATACCATACGACGCTAGGCGTTCGGAAGTATGGATATCACCACCATTATTGACTGGGCGATGCCGACGGAACACAGCGGCTGACGGCAGACCACCCCGCACCACTTCACCCATTTTCAAACCACGACAACCTCTCGCCGTACTAAACTAGTTCTCTCGTCAACACCATGGCCGGTCAGATGCCGCCACCGAAACTCGATTTCGCCCTCCCCTCACCTTTGGACTACATCTGCAGCATCTCACCTTTCTGCAAGGCGCATACCCATATTAACTGCATTCAAAGACCACGCCACAGCGCAAAGCATACCACCAAACAAGCAATGACTTGCGTCTGCCCGCCCTGACTCAATCCCCCTTAGGCCTTTCTGCGTCTACAGCCCGCAACTGCCGCGTGGGGTCAACGGGGCTGATCTTTGAGCCCCAAAGATGCGATGCAACTCGACATGTCTCCGTTGCTTGCTCACCGCTATACTCTGGCGACACCCAGCTGTTGCCGCAGTATTTCCCTCACTTGCAGATTGCGGCATTACTTGCATGGGCAAGCCGCAAATGCA